CTCACTGTCAATTCTTTTTCCCACTTTTAAAAAAAAGAAAATTAAACTTTGAGGACTTTACCACAGAGACACATGAACAATAATTCAATTTAGAATCAGGAGAAGAAACTGCAGTTTCAAAAATACAATATTTGAATTGATTGAAGTATAATTATAAAGTATAAATACGTCAAACTGGTGTAAACGTGTCCATCACCATTAACCAGCGTGTGTGAGTCTCCAGTCGTGCACCAACCTGAGCTGCCGGCTTCGGCCCACGCCGTTGTCCTGGTGTGTGCCGTCGTGCGCGCCGTGTGCGTTGTCGTGCGTGTGTCCGTTGGTGATGTTGAGGCTGAGACGTTTCTGACTCCGTCTCTCTTGAGCCATGAGCGCGTCTCTGTGGGAGCTGGAGAGCCCGTACTTCTCCTCCAGGCAGCGCAGTGGAAGGCCTCTGTTGATTGGCTGGAAGATGATGGCTCCGACCACCTTCACGTGCACACGGAAGAGAAGTTACAGCAAACAACATCAGACACAACGAGTAGGAAATTGTAAAACTACTCTCGTGGAGAGGATTTCTGTTTGGAGAGTAAAGTTCATGGTCTGTTTGCTTCTCTGTTTCATTGAAATCAGTTTAAAAAGATAATTCAGGTCCGTCAGAGCAGCTCAACACTGATGTCTTCATAAAACTAATTTATTAAACTCACCTGTGAGACAGGTTTTCTGTTGCCCACATAGTATCTGATGAGTGCAGGGACGCTGTCAAACCCTTCTCTGTCCAGCCGGTACTCCACTCTGGAGTAGGCCTCATTCAGCATCACGACCTGAGGAGCAAATCAACACGCCGATGTTTTATTCTCTTCATGTGTCTGTGGTTTCACCATCAAGTGATTCTGGCTCTTCGCTTCTGTCCGTGGTGGCAGACGTTCAAACCTCTGACGGGAGACAGCAGCTTTTCTCTGGTTCCCGGTCGTGTGGGTGTGAGAAACACAGTCTCACCTTCTTGTTGATCTTAAAGTGCTGGGCGGCGTTTCGCCACTGGCAGGTCAGAACGTAACTTCCCGGGATGGACAGCGAATCACGGATCAAGAAATCCCCGTCACGCTGCACCGAGTTTTCTGCAACCTGGAACGACACAGAGGGTTGAACACATGTGGACACACACACACAGACACACACAAACACACACACACACTATGTTTACAGTCCAAACATTTAATCAGACCTAATAACGCTCGGGTCTCATAACGTGACTTTGTTCGTGAGCTCTGCTGCAGCGTTTACTGTTTTAGGATCATAGATTTAAGATGTGACGTTTTATGCACAAGACAAATTTATCGATCACTTCATTTCATTGATTTAACTTCTGGTTGCTGGGCCGTCGGCCACAGGTTTGATTTAATTGGAAATCAGAACGGTTTCTGTTTACATTGTTCTATAGTTACATTAAATGTCTCTCTCTCTCTCCTCTCTCTCCAACAAACACACACTCAGCAAACACACAAGCCTCCACACACACACACACACACACACACACACACACTTACACACTTTAATTAAGCGTGTGTTTGTATAGTATATAATGGTAGTTTAGTTAAACCAGAGGAAGCAGCTTATTAAAAGTGATTACATCTCAGAGCTTTCACAGGGAACACACAATCTCTCTCTCTATCTCTCTGGTTCTCTCTCTCTCTCACCCAC